CCGCCGCAGGATAGAACGAAGTCGAACAAGTCGTAGAATATGAAAGAAACAAAGAATTACAAAAGAAGGCCATTAGAATTCGTATTTTCAGTGATCGTATTATCTATCTTCTATATTCGTAAATCATGGCATAAACAAATCTGTAAGTCTTTGACCAAAATGCTACCGTCAAGACGCCAACTATGTGCAAGAAATCGGTTCATAGAACTCCCCCAATGGTCCATTACTTGGGTGTTCTTCGAGCGTTTGTATCTGACAAGCGTTCTGGCACAGCTTCATCTGTGTCGGTATCTTGTCTAGGGTCAACTTGATCATCCTCCTCTTCGTCACTTGTGTCATCGGTAGTTGTCGGACCATGGGCTGCAGAGGCCGCAGTCAGTTGGTCTGGACGCTTCCTCCGCTCGAAATCTTGAGCGTGAGCAGCCGCCATGAGCGAACCAACGCGAGAAAGGCCGCGAGGACGAGTAGCCAGCCCTGGTGTAAGTGGCGTTCCCTGTTCAATGTCTGCCGGAGCGGACAGAGGCGTGGTCGCGTGTTGATCCTGAAGCTGCACATCCTCTCCGGGACGATCCACTTCGACCTCGGGAGAAGCCACTTCGTAAGGCAGAGGGACATCCCTTGATGCTCGGAAAAGGAGAACGTTGGTACAGTGTTCATTTTCCACACGGAATATCGTCCAGACGCCCCTCCGAAAGATCTCAGACAGGGCGACCATAAAACTTAGTAAAGCTGAGTGTTGCATATCCCTGGCAAAAATAGCATAGTAAATCCAGTTGAAACGTATGATGACATCGGCGACCATCGCGGCGTAGTAGACCCAAACCTTTCGGAATGCCAAAACTTCGCGCAATAGCGGATGTCTGGCATAAGGGTTCCCCAAACTCCAGTCCATAATCAAGTCCCAAACCGAGGTATAGACGGCGTTAAGCAAAGCAAAAGTGACAAAGGGAGCCTGGAACCGCGTCATCCTTTCGATACGGTACATGCTCAACGTGGCGTAATAGAGGACTCCGAACATGTATTTGCCAAAATTCACGAGATGTGGAAATACGTTTCTAGTATCCGCATAACGACGGAGGCACTGTAATGCTCTCCAAACCGATGGTAAGCACTGGAAGAACCCTAGGAGCCGGGAGTGGGATGAATTGCATTGCGGAGCATTGTTCCAGTGATGTGCGTAAAGACAGAAGAATAACTCGATGTTCTTTCAAACATTAGCAAATTAACCTTTTAAGATGCATTGGATAGAACTCACCCCCATAGCGTATGTTTGCGAGCAATACATATCGCCGAGGAAGAAATCGCGAAACTCGACAGGGTATAACCCAGCAAGTATAAGACGCCACTATTGTTGTCAGCTGAATCTTTTTGAAATAATGCAAATGGCACTTACGTTTGAATATGCCCACCACTTTCGACTTCTGTGGTATAGCACACGCGCAGGCAGGAACAAGATAATCATTGTGAGGCCGACCAGTACAACAGGCCAATAGACATACATGGAATTTATGGTGAGGAAATTCAGCCACATAAACAAGCCTAGCATGAACATGAAGAAGCAAGGTAGCTGTCAAGAGTTAGATCAAATCTGAGACACATGAGGCAAGGGATCGTACCTCGGACAATTGACGCCAATCAAGAGCATGCCGCGTATCATATTCAAAGACAAAAACGTAATTTATCTTAGTCTTAGTCCAGATCATGCAGTCGAAGCAGAAGAGTAGGAAGTGAAAGACAATAAGAAAGTAACCGCCATATATCTGCTAGAGTTAGTTATGGAGTCATATGTGACAGCATTGCCATCTTGTCCCGAGGCGACACTGACCTGAAGTAAATAGCTGGTTTGGACCTGCACACTAGGGTCCGAGTGCTCAAGGTGCCGACTAGCATAGATCAACGACTGGATGCCGAACAAGACACCGGCCATTGAAAGAAGTCCGGCACGGAACGTGTTTGGCGAATAATCGCCCGACTTGTTGATTGTATGGCGAAGTTTGGAGATAGTGATTTTGCGATCCCCACGCTCGAGATAGCGAGCATATAGGTCTTCGGTAGCAGCCATCAGGTTCTCTACGACTTCACTTTGCACGAACCACGCTTTGTTGACTCTCTCTGACATGTACCTCATCGTAGGGCGTGCATTGACCAGCTTGTCATATTTCTTGTTGATCTTCCGAAAGGCAGTGCGATTAAGGTAGGCATACGCCTTCAGCAGCTCAAGGCCGCGATAAAACTCTTGGAGTGCATACTTCAGCTTCCGCTTCGCAACCCGATAAGTAACTTCATCGTTCTGTGAGTCCTCTGGTCGGCGCATGAAGTCTCTGCGACCCGAAACCGCCTCAGGATTCTGCGATTGAAGTGCGGCCGTAGTGTTCATCTCCGCCAGCGCTTTGGAATTCTTCCCAATGCGACCACGCCCCAGCAATGTCTCCTTCAGATGAAAGGCATTGAGAGCATTCAATGTGCTGAATCCATTCGACCGATGCGCCTCATCTTTCTTGAATTTCGACTTGGTGCCCAAAATCTCTTGTATCCGCCTATCTCGCATGATATGCAGCTGTTGTCGGAGGACCTGTAAGCGCTGGGTGGCTTCATCCTCCTTCATCTGGTAGAAGGATTCGATCTTGGCCAACTCGCCATCCAGAAACGCAAAAAATTCATCCTCTCGTCGTTCAACCTCTGATAAGGGAGTGTCAGTCTGCGCGCGTTTCTCGGGCGGTACCCAGTCCGGCTGCGAGAAGACACGCTTGAGGATTTGAGAAGTCCTCGTAGTGGAAGGCCCAGCCAAATTGTTTCTCAAGCTTCCGCCTCCCTTGCTCCCGGCGTGCTTTGCGGCAGGACTCTTACTGGCGGCATCCTGACACAGACTTTGATTGGTGTCACGCCGGGACATCACAGGTGACGGGGTCTTCGGTACACTTCGACGTATTGATCCGTTTGGGGGCGAATAGGACATATCATCCTTTGGATCGAGTGCTGGGTCAGGGAGCTCTAGAGAGACCAAATCCGAAGCTGCGCCATGCTGTGGAGGTGACGCTATAATGCTGCCATAACTTCCCATGACCGCGGAGAATCGCGATCCCGGGACTCGCAAAGGCTGGCGTTCATCGCGTTGGCCAGGAGTCGATCTGGACGTCGTCGTCGCAAGGGCATCACCCCGGATCGGGATTGACGGACTGCGGAACGAGTTGGGAACTTCAAGTCTCTTGTTGTTGTCTGAGATTTGACCTGACGAGGCGCGAAACGTGCCAGAGGGTGTGATAGGCTGATCCCCAGGTCCAGTACCTGTACGTTTGAGAGACGGATACCGAGGACTTCGATTGGCCTTTTGAATGGCCCGAGCGATAGCTTTGACTTTTTTCTTGCCCGTCTGCCCGCGGAAAATCGTATGTATCAGCACGAGATCATTGTGGTTGAGGGGTAAAATCCATGACACGGAAACCTACCTTGTAATCCAGGTATTTAGCACGCCATTCAGGAACCAATTCCTGTTCTAACTCTCTGTTGACCAGTCGTATGTTAGCTGTCCGGCGTTTGTGCGGGGGAATGGAGATTGGGGATCACGAACTTGGCGAACTTCATCCTGGGGCGCAGACGGGATTGTGCATGATATTAAAAGATGGAATGAAGACAAGGGGCCTGGATGTTCAAACTTGATTGGATCCCATTGGGAGCTTATGGAGGATCTGCCGAAGGATGAAGAGGGCGTTCGTCTTCGCCTAGAAATTGCTGCTAGTAGGCTGCTAGTGATATGGTGATATTACTTGCAGGCCGTGCACTTTCGCTTCGTTCAGTTACAATTGCCGGGGATAGTCTGTCTAGTCGGGGAGGGGAAAACAGCCATCACACCAGGAAAGGGAGTGACATATGAAATGTCCTAGATAATTGGAACAGAATCACGAGTGCGAGCAGTGCGCAAAAGCCCCAAGAGACAAAGAATGAAGATCGGAGGAGCTAGAGAAAAAAAAAAAAAAAGAAAAAAGAAAAATAACTTTGGCAAAATCGCAAGAAAACTTCAAACTGGTTGAAAAAAAGTCGTCATCACGTATTCTGGGCAGTTTGAAGCTGCCAAGAAGTAAGTAGAATCTAAGGCGGATAAGGTAATCCTCCTCACACACAAGTAAACTGGAAGACGGCATTCAATTGAGTGGAAGATGGTCCTCCAGCAGTCTAGCTACCTACTAGTGCTAGTATTTGGCAGTACCTTAACCAGACAATAGAGAAAACGCACGCTGGTTGGTCAATCACCTTAGACAGGCGCACGTGCAGCATGCGATGAATTCATTTGTGCATCCACTCCGGGCTGCATTTGTATCAGTTTCAGACAATCTGGTTGGCTGGTAGATATTTACTATTATTTGGAAGAATAAGTGTATCTCTCGATCATCACTGCTCGATTGAAGTGGATTTCGATCCATCGCATATCTAGAGGGCTCTACGGCTCCATGGCCAGAATGTCATCAGAGTGGTTTTGATCCGTTGAATCCATTGGTTTTGCGCTTCAGGAACCAGGTCGGCAACCTATTAGAGTCACCGTTGTTTAGTCACTGTAGACATGTGACTGCGTGATATGTGGTCCAGGCACTGCGGAATGGCATCAAGCGACTTGGATCAACTCATCAAAGTTCAAGTCCGCAAACTGACAAAATGCGAATGCATTGTTGAAAGTAAACTCTGAAAGCACTAGAGTCGGGCCCTGAGAGTCTCGTGCAACTATCTAAATAAAGGTGATGTTCATGCATATCGCCTGACTGGGCGGACTCCTACATACCAGATATCTGCGCAACGCTGCCAAGACTGGTGGCGTCACTCAACAACTTTGACTGTTGTTTTTCTTACGGGTTGCGTCATGGAGCGACACTATCAATGATCGTCTTCTATGAAGGTGTGAGAGCAACTTGATCATTTTCAACAATCATGCAGAGATAATTCAGTTTCTGGCCTTCATCACTGTTCTGATCCTAAGTACATGCCGTCTGACTGTCCCTTACGGCACGCGTTTACCAACGGTCAACAGGGCGCTCGAAGCGCTCATGAGGTGGGTAGCGACCCGGGTCGTACTCTGGAGCACCCTGTCGGTCGATATAGTGCTCATCGTACATGCGTTCGGCATTTTCCTTAGCATGGCGACGAGCGCGTATCTTATCCGCTTCATCGAGTCCCTTTGTTTCGATGAGTTTGTCGACCTCAGCACCGACAAACCCTACCAGGGCCTCCTTGGCGAAAGCATGGCTGACGGGCTTGCCTAGCAGATTGAGACGCTATTAGTGCTTGCTAACACACTAAATAGGGTGCCGTATACTTACCCTCTCGACGCTGGTGGTCCTCCCAAGCCTTCATGCCGGCAAACGAGGCAGCTCCAGCAATGAGCTCATGAGACAGGCTGCTCTCGTGCTTGCGCTCGCCGTACACCTCACGTTGAGCCTCGTCGGATTGCTCTGGATGATCGCGTCATTAGTCTTTGAACACGGCGAGTAAAAACGGAATGGAGGGCGAGAAGTGAACGGGACCCATTCTTGATCCTAGCAGGAGGGTTTCCCAGAGTCACATTCAAGATTGAAGTGAAAAGGAACGACTTACCCCAGCCCCAAGCCATTTTGAATCGATAACAAGAAAGAGTTTAGGAATCTAAAGGTAGTTCAAAGTGTTGCGATAGTTGTGCGATGGGATAGCCCCGGACCACAGGGGGGAGGCAGTCTGCTCAACTTATATCCCTGCACATGGCGGGGTTATCAGCTAACTCAGGGGAGTCCTCATTGCCCCTCTCGCGCCATCGTCTCAGCGTCTATTTTCATAACTCCACTGCCTGAGCCTTACGAGGTTGGCAGGGAAGATCGGATGGGTCGTCTTGCCCCCCCTATCCTTGAGTGTGGTGCGAAGGAAAACAGTCCGGAGTACAATGATGGTAATGGTATGGCATCACCTCTCTACGCAGCAGTTATGCACTACTCCTCCCTCCGACCCTCCCATGGTGTTTCGCATTACGTGAATAATGGTGTATGCGCCACAGCGTCTATCCAGCTTTGGAGACTTGCAAGTTGTGTCATTCGACTCGGAGTTGGAGGCGTTTGCATACGCCAGTTAGTGGGAGCGATTGCTCCACGAGGAGGACAGGAGCAGTTTCAGCTGGAAGAAGATTGCTTCAGATTTAGGCAGTAGCATTTACTGTTCGTAACTGTATTATTACGAGCAACACTCCCGTCTATTTCGGAGCCGACTCAGAGGGAGAATGACCCTCTCTCCCATGGTACCAATCCCCAACTATAGTACCTAGCTTAGAATCCATTAGACCAGCGCTAGCATATTACAGCCTTGAGTATTTCCATACAAGTCGAGACTCAGTCGTCAGCCTGGTAACGAGTTCTTACTACGCATGTAATAATAAACGGAGGTAATAGATAGCCAACACTCCTCAGTTGACTTAATCCAACGGCGGATAGACCGGGAAATTGGGTCTCTCGCTCAGCCTTACTTTGGATGAGCCATAATATCCACACTACTGTATTTAGCACTTAGCAGTATCGACTCAGCTAGTGATTGCTGGGATCGATTTACCGAATCGCCGAGGAATTGGTGAGACCGCCAAGCTCTCTTGTGAAAGCTTGTCTATCGTACAGTCATACGAGCGCTATCCTCCACAAAGTCCATTGTGTAGTATGTGCATCAGCATATCTCTACAAAAAGAGATGCATCCCTCCGGTCACTAGCGAGAGGGTGGAGCATATCTCTCTTCATACAAAATGCCACTACGTACTTACTGGATGCTCTCCACCTCAAAGCTCCATAATCGGAACCACCGTCAATAGTCCACTACGAGAGGCTTCCACGTTGCATCATGCATCCTCGCCCCTCACAAGTGGCGGTGTACTATTATCAGCTCCCTAAGCATCGTGGCTGAAGCTGGATGGACTCAATGGAGTCAAGTCGGTGAAGGTGAAACACGAGCCAGACATGTTGTCGTGTTTACGGGCCAAGCAGGATGAAGCGGTCTCTTGACCGTTCACTCATCCAATGTCGTCCTTGACTCCGCAAGCGAGCTGAGTGTGATACCTTGTACTTGTTACCCAAGGACCCACTCCAAGGAGCAGTATCAACTTGGGAAATGACTGCGAGCCTGATAGGGCAGGTCTTTTGCCCTTCGCTTGTGCATACCTTTCCCTCCGATTTTCAAGCTCATCTCGGACAGATATTGTCCGCTCAATCAAAATGTAGGAGCTCATTGCAAGACTGATGGGCACCGGGTTCTCTTATCGGAGTTTGCATCTGAAGCTTTAGCGTTAGGAAGACTCGGAAATGGATTCCAGAAATTTCAGGCAGAGTACTACAGCGGTGGTGTTGGCCTGATTTATAAGGCATAAACTGAGCTTGAGCTCTAGGACGTTTTCCATCACCAACGTCATGACTGATTCTTGCTCCTCTCGACGACTCCTTGCTAAGTGCATGAACAACAGCAGTGCGACTCTTAAACTGACACGCGTGAAATACTCTATCATGCTATTGATCATCTTAACATCTGATTGAGAGGACATAGTCCAACCTGAACCATTTACCCCACACTGATAAAGCTCACTCACAGCTACCTACTACTGAAAACAACATCTCACCAACAACCGGACCTACCCAGTCCCCCTTCTGAACAACGATAAAATGACATCCAAAAAACCTCCCTCGCCAGCCGACTTCCCCTCCCACCACACCGTAACCATCACCCCTCCCCAAAGCCCACCCCGCGCAACCCACCCCGCACCGCCAAACATCCTCCTCCTCCTGCACGGCCTCGGCGACACAGCTGCAGCCTTCACCTCCTTCGCGCGGGCCCTCAACCTTCCCGAAACAACCGTCGTGACGATCCAAGCGCCCACACCCCTCCCCTTCGACCTGGGCGGCTTCCACTGGGGCGACGACGTCTCCTTCGACTCGGCGACAGGCACTCTAGACATGGACGCCGGGTTCAAGCGCGCGACGACCCTGCTCGTCCACGAGGTAATCCGGGGCGTGCTGGTGCAGAAATGCGGGTATCGGCCGCGGGAGATCCTGGTCCTGGGGTTCGGGCAGGGCGGGATGGCCGCGTTGGTTGCGGCGAGGGAGATGGCCAACAGGGAAAGGACGCAGGGTGCGAGTGCTGGGGTTGATGCGGATGCGGATGCGGATGCGTCTCTATCCGGAGTGATTTCCATCGGGGCGCCGTATCCCCTGTCTGGGAGTACGGTGGGGAGGAAGAGCCGGACGCCGGTGCTACTGGTGGGTGGGCGGGAGCCGACGGCTGTGAGTGATGGGGCTATACAGCGGACGAAGCAGGTCTTTGAGTTTGTGGAGGTCCATCAGTACGCGCGGAAGGGCGATGGGATGCCGCGGAACCGGGAGGAGATGATGCCTGTTATGCAATTCTTTGCGCGGCGGTTGCGCAGTTGGCAGGGTGTACCCGAGGGGAGTGTGGAGATTACGTGAATTAATGATACAAAAAAGAACAGTAGAAATGGTACTGTACAGTCCGTTGATATAGAGATAGGCGTCTAATTAGGTGCGTTAATCTAGCTCTTCAAGAGCTTTCCTGGCTTGGTCAATGCTTTGACGGGCTGTGTTGGCTGGCGAGTCTTCTTCAACCCGTCTTCCTCCCTCCTGCGCAATTGTACGCAGGTGCTGCTCTGTCTCTCTTAAAGCTGTTCGGCCATCCTCCCGGACTTCTTCCTCCCAGAAGTTTCTGGCGGCATCCCATTTTTTCTGCTGTCGCCGCAGCGAGTAGATCAACCCCACTGCGGCCATTGTGCCTGTCTCATAGATGGAGGCAGTGGGGAGCGAGATGTAGGTCAATGCGGAGAGTGCGGTTGTCAGCGTCGTAGTCGATAAGCTGAAGAGCACGAGTCGTTGCGCCAGAGCCTGCAACGACGGCACAGTGGTGTCTAGGAGCTTTGCTCGGCTGTTTGTTATCTGCGGCGGCCAGGGCTCCGCTGGTTGCGCTGGAGTTGTCCGAGTCTCAGAACTATTCGAGTCTTCTTTCGCAGGCTCAGCGGGCAGATCTTCAGTTACGATCCGGGGTGCTTCAAGCACGCCAGCCTGCTCGAATTTGCCCGCAGTCCAAATCACCTCCTTCTCCGCGCGGCAGAGATACTTCTTCTCCAGGATCTCAGACGTGATCATGCCAATGTCGTCCACTCGCCAGAACAGCTTCCACCATGCGAGGCCTTTCCACGGCTTGCTTGCGAATCCTTCTTCGAGCGAACTCTGTAGCTCGGTGTGAGCCCTCTCCGCCCATGAAGATACAACTCGGACCAGTTGCTCGCGGACCTGGTCAGGGACTGACTCGGTCTCTTGCTCCAGAATCCTCCTGTTTTCCTCCGTCATCACACTCGTCTCCGCGGAATCAATCAGCGCCTCAATCAGAGTCTTCAGGGAGGGGTCCAAGGTTCCTGCTTCTGTCCGTAAGGACGACAGCCAATCCACAACCGGCTGCACACCACTCTGATGCCACCCCCTCTCGTACAGCGACGCGTTCTGCACGGATTCGCGAAATTTAGCCAAGGCGACATCAGCTTTATCGAGGTCCACAAAGCTTATGCGATCGCTAGCTGATTCCGCGGCAGCGCCAGGCAGTGCAATAGCTCCGTAGACCAACCGCGCTTGTTTCTTCAGGTCCGATCGAGTGACCAAGCCACTGTATGCGAGTAGACCATCTACGCCCCTGCCACACACAATACTCCTGTGGACTGGATACCGCACTGCATTGTGCCGGCCGGACTGCGATATGGGTATCGCCACCGTGGGCACCAGGAATGTATCCGCGGAAAGTTGTGCGGGTGAGAGGTCCGTCTCCGCGCCGAGCGTAGATACCAGAATTTCAATGTTGCCTTTCTTCAAGATCGACGAGGGCACCGAGATCGTAGGTAGGAGGTCATTAGGGATCGTCTCCGACACTTCTCCGTATCTGTCAACCTGTCAGCGTCTCACTTCCATTATGGTAGCGAGGTTTAATACCGAATCAGCAGCCCCCGCGACATATCCGCATCCTCGGAATCTAATACATCCTCCCAGGGTTCCCGAGAACTCAAGGGATCAGCAAGTAGCAGACGCACGAGCCTGCGAGCAGCGTTCGCGTCATTTAAACCGAGCACTGTAAACGAAGCCATCAGTTAGCCACTATTACAATCTCTCTCAATACCTTCCACATATCAACATGAACTAACCAGCTACCCGGATAAGCGGGACTTCTGACTCCAATCCACGCAATGCAAGCTGTAATCGGCTGATATTCACCTGTTCCGGCGCGGCATCCCTGACCCGATTCAAGGCTTCATACAGCTCCCTGAACCGTTCTGGCACGTTCCTTCGAGCACTGACCAAAGTCGATGTTGCAAGTTGACGGCGGCACACATTCGCCGAGGGTATCGATGGCAACGATGGGAGGTGTTTCTCGTCTCGTCGCGGAGTGACATTGCCGCGGGGACGCGTTGTCACGCTTCGTCTCCAGATTGAGCAGGATGGGCAGTAGAAGATCAATCCATTGTCCGATGGCCGCGACAGGCTCTTCGAAATCGAGCTGCGGAGTTTGGGAGGCATTGACTCGACGCGCGTGGTATGCTGGTGAGCATTTGGAGAGGG